AAAGAATCACAGGTATTTCTCACTTAATAAATTGAAGTTGAGTTTGTGACAACTAGGATGTTTTTTTCGCTGGAGGATCTTTGGTATTTTTTTTACCCATTTCTGAAAAATTATCAAACATGAATGAATTTTAAAAAACTGAAACGGAGGCTTTAGATGCCGTCCTTTTATTAGTGTAGATTTGTCATCGCTAGGGAAGGGTACCCTTGTACCATTCATGATAAACGTAAACCTGAAGTCTTTAAGATAATTTTTCGCCCGTGATGAATAACCGTGTATGACTATTTGTGTATTTCTAGAAGGGCGATTAGTTTTATAGGAAGCTTCATCAGTTGACGAGCTCGAGGGAATTCCGCATTGAACTGCGCGCGAAAACTGAGTCACGAAGCGATGAGTATGATATCGGTTTTCAAGTGCAATTTAACGCAGAATTAACGAGTCAAGTAATGGATTTTCTTTGAATTGCATAACTGAATAAAAATAACAAAAAAAAAAAGAAAACAGCATTACTTATAGCTGTTATGCATACACAGATGCGAAACAACATCACTTGGCCTCGTTTTGACCTCGCAATTTCACGCTAAATACCTCGCTTTGTTAACCAATCAGAACGCGAGATTTTATTGAATAATGCGATTCTATACAAAAAAAACCATTCAATTGCCGATCACAACTATAGAGAGAAGACTAAAACTTGTAACTATTTTGCAAACGACATCTCCTGAAAACTTTGTACTAAAAACTGGGATACATGGATAGCCTTTAACATTTCAGGATGTAGATCCACAAGGTCAGTAGTCCCTACTTCATTATATTTTGCAAGTATCTCGTTTCCTTTCCGCCAAACGAAGTTTATATGTAGGCAAACAGTTGAATGTACAAAACAAAACATTGAATCAAATTTTAAAATTTGAAGCAAGAGCTCGTTGTTGGTTGCAGCCCATTAGCTCATAACTTCCCATTTCGCATGCTCAAAGCTTATTCAAAACGATTGGGTATAGCTGTCACTCAGTTTATGACTGTATTTCATATGCGGTGACTGGTATCACTCTTGAAAGAAGAACACTGTATGATTCATTGGATGCTGAAACGGGACACACTATTGTTTGTCGTTAAAGCCCTGGAACCAACCTTAATGCATGATACACACATTTTGCACTTCTTCACTAGTGACCTTAATTATAACTAGGATAATAACCTAATGAGTGCTCTCGAGCCCAGAATTGAAATGAGCCTGGGAACGAAGTCTTTAATTTTCAAAAGGCTGCCAGGTGCATTAAGTGTAAATCGTTTACTCCTAGAACAATAGGGAAATCATCATAATAATTAAAGATGCAAACAAATAGTCATTAATACTCGACGCTCGTGTTTTTCGGAAATTAAAAGCGTCGCCGGTAAGGTTTGAGCGGACCATAACACAGCCTTAAGGGGTAAGAAAAATGACTTTTTATATATTTTGTGCCACTTACTGTTTTTTGCTTTTTAAACTTTTTCTCTTGTATTCTTATATTATTGTATTCTTGTATTCTAACGAATGTTTTTACGTTGAATTAACTGGGATAACTCACATCAGGTTGTAAACACCACAAAGGGTTTCCGTGAGAACCTATTCTAGAAAAGCTTATTGCAATTACAAAAAGAGATTGATAAGAATTTCCAAAAGAAATTTCTTTAATCATACGACAGTGTCGATCTTCCGGAAGAAAAATAGCTTGTATTGCTAAATTGCTCTAGGCTGGTTGGTAATGGAAAACTTTCGAATAATTTAGTCGACTCCTTCGCCGGTAAACTCGACAAGATTAATTTTTGGCAGGTATTGGTTGGATATATCAATTTTTTTCCATGCAATCCTCCCAAATTACGCACTTCTCTGTTTACTCTCCACTGTTTTACCTTTTTTTTTTTCTTGTTTGGGAATTACAAAAATCACCGGTTATGCATTTGACAAACATCGAAGAACGTTGATAATACCAAACTTAAAAGGGACAGTATTTTGATAGCACGGCGTGTGAAGTGTATGCGCAAGTGTACCGCTCGCTGGCGGGGAGTACGAAGCAAGGAACACGACAGAGCTGCTTGATCTTCCCTGGGAGATTCGCTAACTGTCTGAGCGGCTAACTTGCAGGATACAATCCTTACAAAACCTGCATGGTACCAATTTTTCAATTTAAGATTTTTAATGAAGTGAGCTTCAAGAAATTCTGCATTTTTAATGAGTGGCAATGGTCACATTTCTACATCATTAAGTGCATTAGTAGTAAAAGCATAACCTCCCGCATATTCTCTCTTGGACTTAAATAATGAGAGGTGTGGATTGGTACAAAGTTCGACAGTCAGTGTAAACATACTGTCTCTACAGTATTGAACTAGGGATTTGCTAAACTTAGATTAAGACCACTCTAATTGGGTTGGCAGTTTTTTTGGCAGTTGATAAATTGCAGTTCATTACGAATGCACCTTGCTAACAATTATACAAAAACTGCAGGTGAATGAAATATATCCAATTTCTTTTTGGGAAAGTTGAAAACAGAAATCACTTAGAAAAAGCTGAACTTGCATCGGGGTAAAAAACCTAAGGCAAATTAAGTGGTAAGAACGAGATTTTCTTATTGTTATATTTACTTAAAGTAAAAGAATAAATACATAGCAAGCCGACCTTTTCATTAACATGCCTTTTGTGGATACTATAAGTTCATAGAAAAAAAGGAATTATTGCTGAGATTTTTCTTTTTTTAGCGATATCTTTGCCTTCGGTGGTTTGCTCTTAGAAGGCGATCATTTCTATTTAATCTGAAATTCCGCTTTGTATTATTACAAACTCGACTGTCGAAGAAATAGGAGACCTATCATTCCCCAGGGCGGGACATTAAAAGGCGTTCTAGTATATAAGGGGCCGACCATTTAACTTTTGAGGGGGGGTGGGTGATTTTGAAAAAAAATTTCCTGCAAGCGCTTGTTGGAAGAAAAAAATTACATGCGGCCCAAATGTAACAGAAAAAATGTACCAAAAAATCGGGAAAAAAAATATCCTGCACAGAAGATTGCTAAGAAAAAAATTTTCTTGATGACCACAAATAACCCACCCCCATCCCCCCCCCCTCAAAAGTTAAATGGTCGGCCCCTAATGTAAATATTCATAACATAATTAGAAAGTGCTCGGTTATGACAAAAACAAAACGAGTAACTATTCCATAACTTAAACAAGACAAACTAAAAATTTTGAAAACTTACGTGCAACCCAGTTTTAATTGACTCTGGATTGGCCCGCTATATACAGTTTTTGGATTTCGTGTTAAGCTTTCTTGATATCTTGCAAGGAATTTTATCTTATTTTTAACGAGACATGATACAGCAAATGTCATATTTCAATACGTAGCATTCTTATTATGTGGTCGCTTTGTTTCTCGACGGAATGATTTGATTTTTCTCGTACGAAAATATTTTACTGTACTTGGGAAAATTTTTCATTCGTCAGTGTGTTGAATTTAAAGCTTCTCAATAGGATCTTTAATTAAATATTCCAATTTAGCCAAGCTGACAACTTCCCACTGTGTTGCAAAGCATACACGAAAATAAGTTAATTATCAAAGTGCAAATTATTTCTCTGATGCTCTTCAAAAATTGAGAAAAAGATTTGTGTACTTAGCAGAAAAGAATTGACCAAAATACAAGTTGACAATCTTCTCATGCTTTTCGCCGCACATTTACAACAGAATATTCAAATTGGCAAGGGTCACTGTTTTACTTGACGCCAATCATTCCAAAGAGCAAATTTTCTAAACTACACTGTAACCATGAATGAATTGCGGCTAAAGAAAAATTTTTTGTTGTCCAATAGGAACTTAACTTAGTGGCGAGGACTGCATAAAGGTGATATTTAATTGTTATAATCAGCGGCCGGTCAGTACACCGAAAATTGATAAACAGGATAATTCCGTAAAAAGTTCGGTTTCTTTGGGGCGGAATCATCTTTCTAAACATATCTTGTCTCAGCATTAGTTATTTCATTTATTCATCAATCTTTTGGAGCATGTTTAAAGTATTTTCTTTCCATTTATTAGTACTCAACCTATTCACAACTCGATAATAACTCGAATTCGCCTGAGTTAGTGTCCTGTAGCGTTCTCCCGTCGAGCATGAGTCAAAATTGTCCGTACTCACCTAAAAATTCCCTGTATATGACTCCCTGTGCCATCCATAGATAACCGTTTTTTTTTTTTTGCTCAATTCCTCCAGGTAACTTTAATTTTGTGTTTTGCTTTCATAGCACTGAAGTAATGCATTCTTAATTATTCTTGTTTATGAAAGTTTCATGTACAAGTGAAACAATGTGCTTAAGGCTAGTTAATCAAAACAGTAACTCATGTTGTTGGCAAAAACAATTTACCTTGTCAATTCACCTGTGATGGTCGAAAACATGACGTGCGAGTTAGGTCTAAATATAAATAGGGAAAAGAATGGTACAGAAAGTATGGAAACACTAAAAATAGTTATTGGCGGGCTTAATCCTTGATGTTTAAAGGCTCCTCGGCAGGTTTTTTTGGACCAAGCTTCACTACATTCGAGGGCTTCATCTTTCCAGCGGGTATGAGACTTGCTGCGGATCTCCGATAGGAATTGGACGAGCCCAAATATAGCGGTGGTTGAATATAGTAACATGACAAAACCTATACTGTAGATTTACTGTTTTGACAGTTCGCTTAAACATAACTTTGGGTTTACAGACGTCGGTTGCTTCATATTTGAACTTGAGAACGTCTGAGAGCGCGCTAAGAATGAGGAAACTAACCTTTGGAAATTATTCTATCCTTTTTTGGAGGGTTCAAAAGAGCGAAATATGGATACTATTTTAGAGCATCATTATTTATATGTCCGACCCAAGAAGCGAATTAACATTAATGATTTGCGTGAAACCGTTATGTTCACTATTCCATTCTCTCGCCAATATTAATAATATATTATTATAATTATTTTGTCATTTTTGTGTTTTAATTAAAATTTTAGTTTTGGTATTTTTGTGTTTCAATTGTGATAAACCTCATCTGAAAAAAAAATAGCATATGCGGGAACTCAAGAGAGCAGAATTTTAGAAAAATCCACCTTTGAAAGGTTTTAATTGTAATTGTCATAAAGTTTTGTTTTTCACCTTATTTTAGCAAGGATCTTCGCGGGAAACCACTCACGCAGATTTTTACTTTTGAAATTACCGACTGTTATTGAATTTACGTTTGCGCTTAAGTTTAGTTTTTAATTAGACACTATTGACAGGCGTGTTTGTGTAGGTGTAGCGTCACTTTATTTGAAGACGTTCTTTAAATAGCATCCGAAGCGGTCGATGTGACAGCAAGGTTTAACAGAATTCACGGAAATGAAACTAGGATGAGCTAACACAGTTGGCCTTTACTTAAGGATAAGGAGTTTGACTCGATTGATGAAGGAGAGGTAGAATGGAATAGTTGTTAATCTCAATTTGTTCTTCCTACTGTATCTTAAAGGATCAAAACTCGATGCAGCAGCTGGAGAGGTTAGAATAAATGGAATTTTCATCATTGCTTTATATAATTTTTATTTCACTAGTTTGGTTTTCAGAGGTCTGAAGTTCAAACATGATGAATCTTTCTCGAATGGTGAGGATTTTCATCATGTTTATTATGGCCATGACGATTTACGTTCTGGCAGACGATGAATGCCCGGATGACAGTAACATAATGCTCCGTGACCCCGCAGGATGCCCAATTGACTACATGACAGTGGCAATGTTTCCTTCTCCACCCTACCTTTTATTGAATGAAAACGACGACAATGGAAATGCAACATATCCTTATGGCATTGTTTTCGACTACATTTTCGACACTTTGTCACGTTGCTGCCCAGAGAAAACGGAACTCGTGCTCAATAATGAGGCTTTAGTCGAATCTGACGTAATCTTTCCTGTCACTGAAGACGATGAAACCTTTTTAACCTTCTCGGGAGTTTCTTACACCTTCTACGATATCGTCAAGGTAGATGATTTTGTTCTGATTGGCCTCATCGATCAGTACAACGCCAAAGCAAGAGGCTTGGTTTTAAGGTCTTTGTATGACTCTTGGCCAAGTTTTGTGTTAATCTTTCTTCTCACTGGAATTGCTGGAATTTTCATCTGGGCCCTGGTAAGCTGGTTGGTGACTTTTACATCTAACGCAATAAACGTTGGTTTATGTCTTTGTTGGGAAGTTCTTTATCTCCTGAGCTGGGAATCCTCATAATGAGAGACCACCCTTTCTAGTTGGAAAATATTTCTGGTTCACTTTTTAAGGGAATAAAATTAAAAGGTTCATAATGGGGAGAGTTTACTGTAAAGAACAAGTGGCTAGTATTTTGGCTTAAAGTATGCGTAATCCTGGTAATAGGACACATAATTTTTTGCAGCACCTCCATTGGTAGTTGAATTGAGAACCAATGTTATCATGAAAGTCAAATTATCCTCAGTAAATTGATAAATAACTTGACAAATAACTTGATAACTAGCTTTAATGTCTCAGTTTTCCCAAAAAAAATCACCAGAAATCGGGAACATTTCGAGTCCGTTATGAAATGTCAGCGGTATATCCATAAAGCACGATCAGGGTCAAAATCCAGTTCCTAATAGGAACAGGCACAACAAAAAGACAGACATTGAAATAGGGACGGGCACAGCCGTTAAAGAACAGGCATAGCCGATTAGAAACAGGCACAGCTCATTAGGAACAGGCACAGCTTATTAGAAACAGGCACAGCTCATTAGGAACAGGCACAGCCTATTTGGAACAGGCACAGCCTATTAGGAACAGGCACAGCCTATTAGGAACAGGCACAGCCTATTAGGAACAGGCACAGC